AGATACTCTTTACTCGAACAGAACTTTTCACAAATTACCTAAAGTCTCATTTAATGCCATGTAAAAAGTTGAGGTTTTGTAATCGCATTATTTAAATGCAAATTATCTTGATCACCCAGTTTTCTGCCTTGTTGAAACAATTCACGTGGTCTTACTATTTTTATATCGCTTGGTTTGAGTGAGTTTTCTTGCCGAGGAAGCGTTTTGTGTCATTATCCCGCTTCCTCGCAATCTCATTAGTTCACAAGGGAGATATAGGTGAGGATAAACAAAATCACCTAATCACTCCCGGTCCATGTTCAAGTTTATAACCACAAGCCGCGTTCAGATAAACTTCTTCGCATTTGTAAAAACACCCAAAATTTGAGCGTTCTACTTGATTTGGAAGTTCGTTTTTCGTAAAATGCAGATGTCTACATCTAAATAAAATCAAGATGCTATCAATCAACTGCCCAGGATTACGTGTTCCCGTGTGCCCTCAAGTTACTCTGCTTGTTCTAGCAGTGTACCGTATCCTTGTTCCGAAAGCTGTGATTGATTAAATTTACTGGTTACACAATTAATCCCAATTCATTGTTACTTATTTCACGTGACTGTTTTTATTTGCCGAAAATCCTACCAAATTCCATTATGCGAATTTGGTTGAGGAATTAGGATTATTAAGCGTTTAGCTTTTGTGCTGAATTATCTTATGAAACAATTTCCTCCGCATTCGTTGTGTTATCCAGGTTTTGGGTTGGTAGAAAGGTGTGTATATGTAAATCTTAACTACCGTCACGTAATTATGCGTTGTGATTGGTTGTCAGCCAAACACACAGCTATTACACGAACTTGCGTTGGTTTTATTTCATTAGCGATCATTCGCAGGCCTGTTTCCGCTTAACCTCACCACTGCCATGAAGTTCGGTTTTTTTCTCTTTTGTTTATGTGAGAATGTACTTTTTTTCTCCCCTACACCATCTGGGTGTTACGTTTATAGTGTTTTTTTTTATATTTTAGTCCCAACACCATGAGTGCCGCGCAACGAATGCGAGAAATTAATAGCCGGGTAGTCGTTGACTACTCGGCTACCGTTGATTTGACGTCGTATTTTCGAATGTGCCGTTCCATGCTCGTCATGGCAAAGCAGTACGAAACAGAAGGTTTCCCGTTGCGTGCGTACGTTCTCCAGAAGCGTTTTCTCCTGCTATTTATCGATCACTTAAGCAAGCGTGAGGACTATAAAGGCTGTGACGCCGACGTGCGCAGGTTGTGGTCGCGCGAGTGCAAGCGGGTGCTGGACACCACCGAGAAGCTGCATCAAACCATCCTTGCCGGATTTCAGGCTCAAGAACTGGCGGAGAAGAAGGCCGCGGAGGAGAAAGAGAAGGAGCTCCTTCGAAAAGCCGAAGAGGACAAGAAACGCCAGTCAACCGCCCTCCCCACCACCACCACCACCACTAATCCGTCGCCGTCAAATGGTGCCGTTCCGCCGACCTTCGACCGTCTCCTCAAGCCTTCAACAGAAAAGCCCTCAACAGGATCCGAATTCAACCCTATCCACGTGCCGCGATCGCTGGCGGCCACCTTCATGAAGATAGCCGAGAAAAACACTAAGTTGAACGTCGAGACATGCGCGACCCTCTGCGGTCGACTGGGCGCTGCCGGCGGCTCGGGTCTCATCGTTTCTCACATCATCCTCTGCAAGCAAGTCGGCACCGCCGATTGCTGCACCACTGCCCACGAGGAGGAGTTGCTGGAGTGCATGGACGCCAACTGTCTGATCGCCCTCGGCTGGATTCACACCCATCCCACCCAGGAGGCCTTCATGTCCTCGGTTGACCTCCACTGCCAACTCTCCTACCAGCTGATGCTACCCGAGGCGATCGCAATAGTGTGCTCGGCCAAGTACAACGACGTGCAGTACTTCTCGCTGACCCCGGACTATGGCATCAAGTTTTTGCGTGAATGTCAACAAACCGGTTTCCACAAGCACGCCTCCACAAGGGACCTCTACATGAAGTCGCCGCATGTTGTGTTCACAGACGACCCGGTTGCTGTATTCGATCTCCGGTAACACGAGACTCCAAGAGTGTCCTACTCTTTTGTGCAAGTGCCAGAGCCTTCTCACACCACCACCACTGCTGCTCCCTACGACTGCTGTGCATAAAATTTGACCACGTGACCGCACTGGTATATTTTTGCTGTGTGATTTTTGGGTTGATTCTTTTTGTGTGACGCCGATGTGACCACGAATAGACGCCTTTTTCGTCTCGTTTTCCCGCGGGCTTGTGAATCAGTGGGTGTTCTGCCCACTTTTTTTCCGTAGATTTTGGTCGTGCGGATTTCCTGGCGCCACAGAGCATGTGTTTATTTTGCTACGGATTGTCCCGTTAATGGTGTTCTTCGTTCGAAAACGTCCAAATTCTGATCGTGGAGGAGCTACTACGGGCTTTCGCTCATGCCAGGCGTATTTCTGCCAGCAGATGTTGCGTGGGCGTAAGTAGACTTGTTGCTTGTGATTTCGAGGTCACATGAACTCCTTCTGATTTGCTGGCTCACTCATGGAAATCGATGCCAATTTGTTTGGTTGCCATTCGTCGAGGGCGTGGGGCACAGCTTGTGGGAGTGGCTTGGCGATGGAAGCACATTCCTTTGAAAGCGTTGACACAAATCCCGATTGTTTTTTAGTGTGGGTGATGTATATTCCTGGATGTCATTAAATACGGAAGCAAACCACGGGGCTGTCGATGATCAGCTCTGAGTGGATCGTGGTGTCATTGACTGACACCTGCGCAAGCGTTGGCGATCACGCCTGGAAGGGAACCTGGGAGATTTCTTGATGAATACTGACTGGTGAAGGTGGTTAGCAACTCCTTTCAGATGATTTAGTAGAAGTACAAATTACTGAATGGTCAGATTACCGAAACGAATAGTGTGGGGGGTTCATGAGTGACAAGGAGGCTGCGAAGGTGGTGTGTGGCGACGGAGAGGATGAACGTGGATCAACACAATTCACCACTCATCCTCTACATCATCTTCGTCGAAACTGTCATTTGGCAAAAGAAGAAGTAGCCTATAGAGTGTTGGGATCAGTCGGCAATTGGAGCATTTCCTTGAGAGACACCCACGTCCAATTTTGTCATGTTTTGATTGCGTAGTGAGGTTCATCGAATAGAATTTATGCTGTTAGAGACACAGTCTTGTGGTTTGATGTATCAGGCAATCTATTTAGCCCCTCAGAGTGCCTCGTAGCTTTGATAAAGTGAATTTTTTTACAAATTCGAGATGTCTGACGTCGTGTAAATCACCTTCTTTATCAAATTAAGGTCTTGAAAGCAATAATTGAAAGCTGACAACATCTGAGGGTATAAAAGGAGACCACCATAAAGTGATAACCTGTTACTACGCAATCACGGTGAAGGTGATGTGCGAAGACACAGATTAACATAGATTAATGGAAGACTAAGGTGCAACATGATGATAAGTCAGTAAGTGGACACGAATGGCTAGAGGTTTGTATGAACGCAGTTCGTGCTTATAAACCTGAACATAGACCAGGAATGATTAGACGATTGTGTTTGTTCTCACCTATATTTCCCCTGTAAACAGGTGAGATTGCAAGTAGCGCAACGCTGTCACAAATCACGTCCGCTTAGAGGCTATTAAATAGAGAGCAATTGCTAAGAGTGACAAAGCCCTTGCTGATTTACTCCACGTACACTGTTATTCCTAAAGCTCAATCTGCATACGGCAGGCAAAATTATCGCAGTTATAAGTAATTCTGAGAGAACGCAAATTAGGGTAAATCAAGAAGAAGACATAACTAATAATTTCCCTAATGTAAGATGTAAAAACATAATAAATGATGTTACAAATGTACCCAGTTGAAGGTATTGTGAAATTGAGATCAATTGTGTATCTGAATGGTATTAATCAGTGTTTGTATGTCTATTTTTTATTATTAACGGACGCTGACAGCAAAACACAAAAAGCAAAGGATATTTATAACAAATGTTTATCGAAAGGAAATGGTTATTTGATTATCCTAACGAGTATCTATATCACGACATGCAAATATTCAAGAAATGTGAGTCTGAAAAGGAGGATTTGACGAGAATATTATCTGGCACATCGCAACCCTGGAATCTGCAGTGACAGAGAGCATTATTTGTCAACCCAAAAATAGGTGCTTGTTTTATTTTACAGTAAAAAAATAAAGCAGTTTAAAAATAAAATTGAGTGCAGCATTTTACAGAAATATCGCAGCACAAAGGTTAACTTTAGTCTGCTTGTAAATTTGCAGGACATTTAAAAAAAGCTAAGTAGTATTTGAACCAGGGCGTTTTCGCCTGGTCATGCTACTGCAGCACTTAACTGCTCGTTAAAGAGGAGTTCAATTTGTTTAGCAGACTCACTTGAAAGGGTCACGAGGAAAATTCCTAACTATGGGACCAAGGTTTAGCAAACGGCATTTTTACTCAACTGTAAGAATGCTTAAAAATGACGTCATTACTTGCCAAACATTCAGCACTAAAATTTAAAATTTTACAGAATTAACCAATGTTTGAGGTCCACTGTTTGGGTGAATTTGATGGCAAATAGCATCTTCAATAAGACATAGTTCTTATTCAAATGCAAGCTTTTTCTAGTCCACATTTTAACACCATTTTTAAAAAAATCTGGGAATTGATTGAGGCCATCTAAAGTCAAGTACTGCACGATACACGGCTTTAACTGTTGGAGAACCCCATCGATATTTCTAATTGATGTTTCAAAAGTTTTGAATATTTTGAATTCTAATACTTTATGATTGACTCTACCGAGGAATGGAAATTGAGCAAAATCTTATTCACCAACCTGTCTCTGCTTTGCACAAATACTATAACTTATATGTCATCATATGAGTAACAACAAAGGTACAAATAGCAACACCATCTGGCAACTAAGTAAAATAAACAAAATTGCGTAAAAATATTCTAAAACTTTTAACAAAAATGACACTTGTATTCGCAGAAACCTTATAGTATATACTGTTTTATAGCGGTGCTTTTGTATTTTTGGGGTGACTGTGAGTTGGAGAACGTTATGGGCTCCTAGATTTTCCATCGAATTGCTTTGCTTTTTATAATACATACTCGCTAAACTGTTTATTAATGTGTTTAAGCAGAAAATGAACATCTCTCATATTCTCTTTAAATATATTGTCTTACAGGTTTTTGGTTTTGGCTTTAACTTATCTGCTCTAAGTTATCATGTGCTTACAATGGGTCTGTTTTAAGTGATGCCAATAATTTCAGCCATTCGAAACAAACTACCTCTAATGTTGTACGTCTGTTTTGTAAGGTTCGAGATTCCTCATGAGTTAAAATCAGGAACACGATGTGGTCTAGTCGCGTTTTGACGTGCTCGAATTTACAAAAAAATGAATTTTATGTACTGTCCGATTGGTATTGGACATTCTATGTTAAATTTTAGTAGCTAGAAATAATTAGATCACTGTGTGAAATACTACAGGATAAGTTTTTTTGAAGTCGCCTAATGATTTAATTCATTGGGGTGAATATATTAGTCGATTATATATACAGTTCCAAAGAATCCTTTCTCTTATTCTTTGTTATTATTTAGCAAAAGTTCGGGGCTTTTAGTGCGACTCTTCTTTTATAGTTTAAGATGTCTTTAAACGGCACCGATGGGAAAAAATATGGCCTGATAATCCCCAGTAAGAAGCCAGTCAGAGAACCAGTTCGGACAAATATACCAGAAAAGACTTTCGAAGACGAGTCTGATGACGAAGAGGATGCAAAATTTGTAAGCACGCCCTCCGCTGATATGTGTCTCTGGATATATATGGCATTTATTGACTTTCATAGCCTGAAATGTCTGGTTTTTGCAGAAACAGCCAAATTTTGACGTCAAACTGGAAACCATAAAGGCAAGCCTTCGGAAGACGGTAACTTCAACTACAATTTACTCATCTCCAGACGTAAATGTAGACAAAAATTAACCTCGAAAAAGCCCTTGAAGAGGACGCAACTGTTTTCCAGTATGATGAGGTGTACGACGAAATTAACCGAGAAAAAGATCAAAAACTGTTGGAAAAAAGCGGGTCCGTAGCACGAAAGGTTTGCATCCCCTTTGCTCTCTCTCTATTCGCCTCACTAAATTCTAGCCCAGATATGTTAGCAAGCTGCTCAAAGCTTCGGCCGTTCGAAAGCTTGAGAAGGAGCTGCTCACGGAGCGAAAAGCCCAGAGGGAAATCGAAGCGGAAAAAGAGAAGTATGGTGACAAGGAGTCCTTTGTTACGGGAGCTTACAAGGTATTCGCCTGTTCTGCTCACTCTCTGTTTGCATAACCCGTATCCTGTTCTCGAATTGGCTACAGGTTATGCAATCTACCAGCGGATGTCTCAGTTTTCGTTCTAACTGTTACCGTCCCGATGCTTTCAGGAGAAGATGCTGGAAGTTCGGCAGTTGGTCGAAAAGCGACGGGAAGAGGAGGCAAGAGAAGCGGTAATGGATGTGACTAAACAGGACGGCCTGGGTGGTTTCTATCGTTACATGTTCCAACAGAAAACCGGATCACAACCTTCGACGTCCAGACAGTCGCCGGGCTCTTCTGACAAGGTTAGTCTTCGCTCACATCTCTGGTAAGCGACGTGCAGCTTCAGAATGTTAAGTGGTTTCTAGCTAATCAGCGGTTGTGACAAGTTGAACTATTGTGGGTTGAAAGTTGCACCTATCTGGGGACGTTTTTGGGTTCAAACTGGTCCCCAAGACCAGAAATGATTATTTTCTTTCGAGTCCTTGACGTGTCTCATCCAAATAATCGTGGAAACTCATTTAAAGGATGCTTTACTGAGTCTATTTCGTCAACGACCGAAATCAACCAAAAAAACGGTGAGACCACGATTTCCTGAGGTGTCGGCACCGATGAATGATGGTTTGAAGTCAGTCGAGTGGAATTTAGTCAGGCTTTTATTAGGCCTCTCGTCACACATGCAATTTCGACTCTTGGTGGCAATGACATTCGATTTCTTTTCAGGATGACAGTGAACCAGGAATGAAGAAAGTGGTTGAAGAAACGGAACTTCCTCAGCACCGAGAGGGTCATTCGAGTAAAGGCGAGGCATCTCCGCCACGTCGTAAACATGTGGACGAGGTTCGACATAGTCTTCTTTTGCAACTTTATTCCAGATTTGGCTAGACACCAAATTGATCGATAATTTTGATGGGTCGAGTCAACCTCCTACCGAGGAAGGATCCTTTTTATAGAGGTTGGATGGTTTTGTTGTTAAAAGATGCTCCCCGGAACCTTACCCCGTGATCAAACACGTGGAACTGCCTCTAACATGCATCACCGACCATTTCAGCCGCGACGTCACCACGAAGACTCGCGCTCCAGACGGTCACCTGGACGTCACAGCCGACACGGAAGGTCGCCTCCGTCATCACGACACGCCGATCATCGACGCGGCACTCGTGACAACGAGCATTCCTCGCGGCATAGACGGCGTTCCAGAAGGTAGTGCCGCGTCCACCTACTTAATTTCCTCAAGAATGCCACTTTTGTAGAAGCTAGTTAGGCTGACGAATTGTGATCATCTTGGTTGTAGCCGCTCCCACAGTCGCGGTCACAGACGTCATTCACGTCATCACGACGACCGCCAGCGTCGTCGACATCCACCGTCGCCGAAGCGTGAGGTAACGCCTCCAGCGCCGACCGCCAGCGCTCCGAGTCCGCCACCTGAGGGCTACATGCGAGCGAAGCCACGCAAAACCACAGACGAGGAGATTGAGGCCGCTCGTCGGCGTTTCTTGGCACGCAAGGCTGCTGGAATCAACCGCGCCGTGATTGTTGAGTCGGATGACGAGATCTAGACGCTTTTGCATCGACTACTTGTGTACATATATATATGCTCGAATGTATTTTATTATTATTAGTAAACGTTATACTTTGCCTTGATGCTGGCGACGCGTTTGTTGTTGAAGGGTCTAGTTAGGCGTTCCTGAACACGCGAGGCTTCCTTGATTCTGGAGTACGCTTTTCATCTAAGCTACGGTGGATAGCACGGTACTTGAACTGCATGTAAAAGTTGGAATGTCGTGCAATATTATGACAGCTAACAATCTTTGTCAGGTTTCTACTTCTAGTGTTTCAATGACCACTTTGCAGTGAGTTCTGCGGATAGTTTCAATGATTAGGTGCGTCTGTTTCTCGAGGATTTCATTGGTGCACAATTCTCGATGAAATAAGCAAATGATGTAACCGAGAATGACCCCAGCAGCTAATCATATTCCAGGTAAATTAGGATTTTTCGGGACAAACTGACCATCTAAAGTTGGCGAAGTAAATCCCCTTCACACTTGTGTGACGAACTTTCAGC